CAAAATTGAGTTAGTTACACTTGATGATCAATTTTTAAAAAAATTGCCATTTTTTTTGCACACCACTGTATATTATTATAATATTTCGTAATACAATCTATAACTAATTATTTTCGAAAATTATAAATAAATAATAAATTAATAATTAAAGTATTTACATAATAACTAATAATTAAAATATTTAAATAATAAATTAATAATAAAATATTTAATCATTTAAATATTTTTTTTTAAAAAAAACGGACTTAAAAATTGAATTAAGTTTCAAATCAACCAAATGTTTGAAACCATCTTTTTGTCATTTTTATTTCCTTGATTATTTGATTATTTGATTATTATTTTTTAATTTCTTTCTTTGCTTTTATTTTAGAAAAAAATAATTAATTAAAAAATATTAAATGAATTCTATATTGAAGTTACATATAAATAGTTTAATAAAAATAAAGAAAAAATAAAAGTATTAATAAGGTACTCGTTTGTATCCAAATAATTCTAAAGTGGAATTTTTTAAATTATGAGGTTCATCTTGAGAACCAGGAGAAATGTCAGATGGATCATCTTTAGATTTCCATTGATTGATAATTGAAGGAAATAAAGAAAGTGAAAATATTTTATCCGCAAGCATCAAGTCAATTAATGCTACATCAACAGGTTCTGATACATTTACAAGTATTTCCAATAACTTTTTTGCACCCCTTAAAGAAACAGCGTATGCGTGAGAACAAGCAGGACGAAGAGATTTAGAAAGTATAAGGTCGGATCCATAATCTGCTCCATTATAATAAATTATATCTGATGTATCCCAAGCACAATTTCCTAAATAAAACATTTCCCAATCATTTGGTAAAAATAATCGAGTTTCATTTAAGAAATCTTTGATATTAACTTCAAAGTCTACATCATCTTCTAAAATTAATGCACTTTCATAATTATTTGATACAACTAATTCATAAGTTTTATAATGACTGGCGTAACATGCTTTGTGCGGTGGTGCTAGATCCGATAAGTAGTGTTTGAGAGTTTTTGCATCATCTTTGTTAATTGCTTCAACAAACTCAATATCCAAGTTATGATATTCTGCAATTAGACCAATTTTTTCTCGTCTGTCAGAACGAGAAGGAAGGTTTATACAATAAATGTGGTCAAAACCTAAAGTGCTATTATAAGATCCCAAAGGACGATTATAAATAAATAAATAATCAGAAGGTGTAATAAAAAAACATAAGAAAATTGTGAAGGTTGTCAATATTACAAAAGAATAAAATATTTGTCTTTTTTTTATTTTAAAATTATTCATGGTGGACAAAAAAAATTATTATTTTATAATGTCCATACATTTATATTTGTATTCGAAATAATAAAGGTATTATGCAATGTGCAATGATGTAGCCATATATAGTTTAATTAAATGCATTTAAAACGGGGATTTATTTAATACGATGTGGCTTTTCAAAGTTGTATTGGTACCTGTCTATCATATTTATTAATGTAGTCAAACCAAATTCCCTTGTCCGCTCTAACGACTAACTAACTGTCTCAGCGCATAATTTATGTAGGCAAGCAAAAGTATTAAAAGCAACAGTTCAATTCCTTTTGTACTTTTATTGCTCTTATCTAACCTCATTCACCATCTACTTTACAAAAATATGGATGTGCAATTTGTAAGGTCTCAAAAGTAAAATGTATAGCGAGAAGGATTATATTCATTGTTTTCAGAAGCAATAGCTGATTTTAAAACATATCTTGTTCATGCTATTAAAAGTAAATTAAAAGAACAATTTTCTTATTCTAGTAGACAAACTATTTCTTTTCCTTGTAAGGTTATATTCATTACTATAACTATTTTTCTGGTAATTGCAAGTGTTTTTTTTTCCAAGGACCAGACGCATATACACAAATAGCTAATTTTATTTGGTAATCCAAATTTTTTGATAATAATTAACAAACTTTTGTTGGGTTATTTGATGTGAGCTAATCAAGAAGATATTTTGATTCATGTGGGAAACGAATCCCAAAAAATCGATCGAAAAAATCTAAGCTACCTAAATAAATGGTTGATTGGAAATACAAAATTTTTTTATTATAGAAAAATGTATAAATACATATATTTGAATTATATTTTTGTTATATAGATTATAGATTTAATATTATTTTTCTTTTTTTAATAAATGTTTTTAATTAGTACGCAAATATATAATTTAATTTGATTTTTGAGTTAATTTTTTTTTCAAAAAAATAAAATAAAATGTTGAAAAATACTCTTCTTGATTATTATTATTTTATTGTTACCAGAAGTATTGTATTTACGTTTTCTACCTATTAAAGAATAAAAATAATGTAAAGAAATAAACTTTATAAATGTATAAAAGTAAAAAAATTATGTTTTTCAACTACAGGATTATTTGACACAAGTGATTGTGGAAAGAGTTTTCTTTTGAAAAAATCAATATCCAAGTTATGAAATTTTTGCAATTGCAGCAACTTTTTCTCATCTGTCAGTTTGAGAAGGAATGCTTATACAATATGATCAAAATCTAAGAATGATTGTAAATAAATAAATATCAGAAGGTGTAATATATATAATAAAATATTTGTCTTAATGAAATAAAAAATATTTTTTATATTCTATATTTATTATATGTTTGTGCAGCCAATTTAAAAAGGTGCACGATTGGATTCAATCGACAAAGATGATAATCAGTTCAGTAAAAGATCATGGGTTTTGGCATCAATTCATGTGTTTTTATTTTGTTTAGTAGATAGTTAATCGGGTGACGGACTTTTATTGGCTTGGCAAAGTATAATTTTTGCTTAAAGGCCGAAAGGTGAGCCAAAAAAATCTTTCAACTGTGATTTTTTTTTAACATCGGGGGCCTCGTTATGGGCTTTATTATATAAAATTGCATAAGTTGCAACATAACTTCTCTAGTTTATCGAAACTGGGTCAGACCCCATCAGATTTCATTAAAGTATTAAAAGTATTAAAAAAATTAAAAATCGTTATTATACATATAATTTAATAATATAAAGTGACAGATAATTAATAATAAATCTATCCCGAATAATTTCCAGGAATAACATATTCACAACCTTTTTCACTATCACCCGTATCACATTTACTTGTATCATTACAACAGCGAATGCAATAATGATTAACGTCAGGTTCAACCAAGTTTACAAATTTACTATAACCTTCACACACTGAATTTGGAGGAGCTTTCATATCATATTGACCACCACTATCAGTAGGTGATAATCCATAAATACTTCCATTCATTACACCAGTGACTTGTACATATCCAGTATCTTCTTTAAAATGTGCCGAAACAATAAATCCAGCAGGAAGAATGTATGCGTTTGGTGATTCATGAGTACATGCTGCTATAGCAGTAGATTCACTTTCTCCAATATTTCCTCCGTAATCTTTCGGAAGGAATATACAAAACATATCGCCACTTTCTACAACTGCAGTTCGGGGTGGTTTATCATCTCTTCTTATTGGTGTACCATTTGTAAATGTTGTGAAATATAAGGTTCCAAATATTATCAAGATTGGAAGTAATAGTGATTTCATGTTTCAAATTTCAACAATTAGAGGAAAAGTTGTAAAATTTTTTTGAACTTTTAAAAAATAAAATATTTTTAACATTATTGAATCTCGAAATCCCGAAATTTATATAGAAATTTAAAATTTAAATTTAGAACCGCTAAATATACGTTTAATATTAATAAAGAAATTTTTACAGAAGTGATATGCATAATCTTTTTTAGATCATCTTTCTAATTTTAAAGGATTAATTCGAATGATTCTTAAAAGGTAAATAGTACCGAATCCTTTTATACCGTTTTATATATCTCATTTTATATCGTTTTGTATATGGTAAAATTAATCAAAGGATGGAAAAACATGCTCAATTCATACATTTATGATTCACATTCATTCTTCCATTCGCATTTTCTCAAGAGTGAAATAATTTCAACGCATACATTCACATCATCCGACCTCCATTTATACTTTCCACACGTTTTCCCAATTAGACTGATTTGACATCACGCTATTTTCAAAATATGTATAAAATGTGAAAGATAATCTATTACAAATTTACCTAGTTGTTCCTGACCCAAGGTACTCTTATCCTAAATAATTTATTCAATCTAGGTATTTTTAGGTTTTTGGGATTATTTTTGATAACATTCAGATGCACACTATTATGTTTTACCATAATGAAAACTTTTTTGTATAAAGATTTTTCCACTTTGGTCAAATATGTAACTAAATATAGTTTTCGTTCAACTAAATTCAGAGATTTTTGTATAAAGGATTTTTCATTGTATTTTTAGTATTTTGGTCAAAATAAGTAAATATAGTTTTCATTCAATTATTAATTCAGAGATTTTTTGAGTAATTCTAGAACTTTGAGATTAAAGTAAACTACCTTTACTCATTAAGATAAGTTGTTCAATAAGTATAATAATACTTCGACATTAAATTTTCGCTACGGATTACGTTTTTCTCAAGAGCAATATATATATATATAGAAAAAAACTACATTTAACCGGAGGGAAAATTAACCGGTGGACAGAATTAAGTTAATGTTGGTAGGGTTAGGGTTAGGGGAATTATTTAATCTGCCTACGGTGAAATTTCCCCCCAGTGAAAATTAGCACACTCATATACAATATATATATTTATTTTTTCGTCAAAGTATTGACCTTCAAACGACTATGTTAAGTTGTTCAGCAAGTATGAAAGTACTTGGATATTAATTTTTGCTATACTAACTTGGAGCTATTTGGTATTTTTCATAATAACAATCATTCATTACAAATTTAATACTTTTGACAAAACCCCCCATTTTCAAGTTTCGTAAAGCAAGCTTGAACTTGAGATGAATATTTTTAAACTTGACTAAAATAATTTATTTTATTTATTATCTTTATTTATTGATGTTATATTCACGACCTTAAATGTTTTTTTTTTACATACGAAATTCTACGTAAGCTCCCGCCCTCCGAATTTCATTGGTCAATAGCCTAGCAGGTGATCACAATAAATTCACGTGACAAATCTATGGTTATTTTTTCAATATACCAAAGTTTCATGTGACAAAATAGTTATCTTTTTGATGAATCTACAAATAAATAATTAAAGGTATATCAAAAAATAACCACTTTTTCACGCATATCTTATATATCAAAATAACCATAAGTCTATCAAAAATGAAACATTTGCCCCCCTGCAGGCACAGGATATGAATCTGTGCAGGTTAAGATTTTCCTTACTGATCATGATATGAACAAATAGTTAATGAGGAAAAAACAAGTTTGTTTAAAATCATTTGTGGCTTTAAGTGTGACTAAATATCAACTCAAATTAAGGAATCAATTCTTTTTTTCTTTAATAAATAATTAAATTCATCAAATTTTGTTGGTATGCGATAATTGATTTTTTTTTTTTTAATTCATAACTATTAAGCAAAATATTGTCTCTAATATCAATATTATCTCTTAATAATCTCTAAAAAATTATATCAAATAGAAACATGGCTACATTCCGCGTGGATATATTTGAATGTGTCACTTCGTTTACAACCAATGCAATTTTTGTATACTTTGCCTGGCAAGAAATCCAAAAGAAATCAAAGAAACAAATGAATCTCATAGAGAAAAAGAAGAAAAAGAAAAAATTGTTATTTTTGCACATAGAATAGCATTTTTAGCGGCGAATGGTTTTCGATTGTATAGAGCATTTGCAGATGCTTATTATCCCCCTCAAAGAAGAACTCACTGGTATAACTGGATAATTCCATTTTATTAACTTTATTAACTCTAACTAGGTTGGAAATCTAATTATTTAGGAATATTGTAATTAAAACATTCATTCCTCATAAATTTTTAAATTTTAAATTTTATTTTTAACATTTTATTTTTAACACATTATTTATGTAATAAGTTAAATAAATGGAATAGTTATTAAAATATACTTTAGGTTTTCCATTAAATCAATCAATCAATCTTATTGAATGTTAATGTTATTATAATATTTCCATAATTAATTTCAGGATATTTATGGAAACATCTGAAGGGAATTATTTCTAAACGTTTTTTCAGCCAAAATTTAGGATTCATAAATACCGTGTAACCATTACATAAAGGGGGTAATTGAAGAATGGAAGTGCGGGTGGCGTTTCCTGCGACACCCCGGAGAATGTTTTAATAGCTAGGTGTCTCATGTAACATTATGTGATGTGACATTAATGCAAAGGAATTACGCTGGGTAACTTATTATGCATGTTTTGCCAAATTTACAAAATTCTATTGAGAAAAAAAAGTTTATAAAAGAGAGAGGATTTCATTTAACTATTTCATATGCAGTATATTATTATTTATTACCTTTGTAATTAGATTCATTCAATTATCATAATTGTTTTCCAACCTGATAATTTATTTTTATTTTTTTTTTCTTTAAAATAATTTCCATTTATGAGAAAGATCACATGAATGCCAGGGAATTTTATGTAAGTGGTCTAAGTTAGAGTATATGCACAGCACAGCTAAGATAATTAAGATAGTTAAAATAATAAAGGTAGTAAAAGGTAATAAAAGGCAGTAAAGGTAATGATTATGCATAATTTAACATAATTCCTGAACATAGTTTAATTTAGTTTAATTTAGAACATTGATCGACTAGTTATTAAAGTTATAAAGAATAACAGATAGATTTTTTGAGTGAAGAATTAAATTAAATTATTTTAAATTTCTTTTTAAATTTCATTTTAAATTTATTTTATATTTATTTTATTTTATTTTTAAATTTATTTTATATTTTACATAATATATATATAATATAATAAATATAATAAATATTGTTATTGTATATCTTCATTCACACAAATCAATTTCTTTTATCACAACAACAATGACACCAATAATGAGTTTCATTATGCTCAAAATAAATAATACATATATAGATTCCGTATTACGATTTTTTTATTTTCTTGGTAGGATAATTGTATTAATTGTGTAACATAAGATAATAAACACCCGTACATAAAACGTCCCACACATTTTTTTTTATATTTCTTCGCGCGTACTTTATGTTTTTTTTTTTTCTCCATCTTTCTGTAAGATCCATTTTATTTTTATTTTATTTTTTTGATTCTTGGAAATTCTTATTGATTTTAATTTATTAATTTATAAATTTATTAAATTATTATTTGGAACAATTTTATTTTATTTAATAAAAATACCGTATATAGAAATTTCTAGAATTTTTTTTTTTCGAACTACTGTGTAGTTTTTATATTGTAATTTTTTACATTGTAGCTTTATTTTATTTTAGAAAGAATTATCATAATTTTGTTTCAAATTGTACTTTACTAAATATATATCAATCTACACATTATTTCATATAATATTTTTACATTATTCATATATTACCCATATATTATCCATAATACATTATTATCCTTAAAGTATCCGCATAATCTTTATTTATAAGTATTCTATACAAATGTTCTTTGATATTCTTTAAACATAAATTCTTTATTAATTACCTTTCGAGAAAAAAAAGTTCTATTATATTAATAAGAACTTGTTTTTCTATATATGTAATTTATAATTATCTAAACTCCCGGGTTATTTATTTCTATTTTTATTTATATTTTTTTAGATTATTTAGATTATTTTAGATTATTTTTATTATCTTTTTACTTTATTCTTTTTTTTTTTTAACTTTATTTTAAAATTTATATGCGATGATAATCATATATAATCATCCATTATACTTTATACATTAATCCAATCCTTTCTCTTCTCTCTATCCTATATCACCGATTATTATCAAAAATCCTTTTACCTGAAATTAATAAGAAATAATTAAAAAATTAGATTTTAAAATTATTATTATTATTATTATTATTATCATCATTTTTAGAAATTTAAAATTATTTTAAAATTATATATATATATATATTTATTTTTTTTTTAAAAAAAAAGAAAGAAAGAAAAAATGAACATTATAAACAAATCAAACAAATCAAACAAATCCGGAAGCAATAGTGCTAAAAGTAAAAATAGCAGTAAAAGTAGTGAACACAGTATTTCACCTTCAACATTACCACAAAAATCAAATACTCATCATACGATTATTTCATCATCTAGTAATATTCCATCACCATCGTCGGGTCACATATTTAGCCCCATTTCACATCATACAAATAATAGTTTTACGTCACAAAATACGAACGGAAAAAGTAGGCAAAAATGGTTAGATGAAATGGTACAACAACGTAGATTGAAATTTATTCCATATGAAGAATTTGAGGATGAACGAATAGAGGAAAAGAGTGAATCTGGAATTACTAGTTTCATTAAAACAGTTCAATGGAAGAAAATGAGAAAACGTGTAGTAGTTAAAGAATTAGAATATGTGGAAGATTTATCAGAGGAGACAAGAGAAGCTTTTGTTAATGAGGTTTTTATTTTGATTTTTTTTTTTCATTATTTTGATTATTTCAAATTATTTAATTTATTATTATTTCTTATTTTATTAATTATTATTAATTATTTATTTAATAAAGTTGAAATTACATTTAAAAGTGGATATCAATGAAAAGATTATAAGAATTTCAGGATTAAGTCAAAGTAATTTTATCTATCATTTAAAATCAATCTTTTATCTTATCATTTCATTGGTTAATCATGATACTCATTATTTATTAATCTTATCTTTTTTTATTATAGAAACAGAAAACGATTTCTATATTATAGTAATGCAATATACTGAAGATGGTAATCTTCAAGATTATTTGACAAGAAATTTTAAACGTTTGAATTGGACAGAAAAGTGTACTTTAGGAAAACAAATTGCCGAAGGATTGGAATTCTTACATCAAAATGGTATTATACATGGGAATTTGGTAAATTTAAATTTTCTTACAATTAATAATCTCATCTTAATATAATGATAATATTATTTAATAATAATGATAATATTATTAACGTTTTTAAATTTAGCACTCACGAAATATCTTATTTCAACAATCATATCCGAAACTTAGTGATTTTGGTATCTGCAGTCATGTGTTTTACTCATCAGTTATATATGCACACACTGAACCACGTTTCATACCTTATACTGATCCCCAATATTTACGTGAACCAAATATTTATACAAAAAATACAAAATCTGATATCTATAGTTTAGGTGTAATATTATGGGAAATATCCAGTGGAAGAATACCTTTTAGTTCTTATAGCAATCGTAATAATTACAATGATAATGATAGAATGGGAATACAAATGATTGGTGGAGGAATTGGAGAGAAAATAAGTTTAGAGCGTGAACGATCAAGTGAACGAAGTAATAAAAGTTATACTGGAAAAGATAAAAGAAGTATAAGCAGTGATAATACAAGTAATACACTTGAACGTAGTGAAGAATTAATTAATAGAATATTAAAAGGTGTAAGAGAACAAGCGGTAAAGGATACGCCAAATGGATATTATGGAATATATAATAAATGTTGGCAAACTGAACCTAATATAAGACCAACAATTGAAGTTGTCATTAAAGAATTAAATATTTTATTAGAAAATAATGGGAAATTAATGAAGAAAATGAGTCGAGGTGGTGAATGGGGAATAAGATTTGGAGAATTTGATAAAGGGAAAATAATAGGTTAATTCTTTTATTTTATTTTATTTTATTTTATTTTATTTTATTTTATTTTATTTTATTTTATTTTATTTTATTTTATTTTTTATTTTATTTTATTTATTTTATTTTTTATTTATTTTTATTTTTTATTTATTTTTTTTTATTAATTGATTGAATAGAACCTAAAAGATCAAGAGCATCGGAAATAGACTTAGCAGAACTTAGAAATGATGCGATGGCTGCTGAGCTATGGTTAAGATATCAAGGTATTTATCGTAATTATTTAATTTTTTTGTTAATTTTTTTTATTAATTTATGGGTTCTATTTATATTTAGAAATTGTAGAGACAACAGGAAATAGTTTGGATTCAGATGACAACATATTACAAGGTAATTTAATTATTTATATATAATGTTGAAGAATATTGAAGAACGTTGAGATAAATATTTATTTTATGAATAGAAATACTTAATGAAGAGAATGAAGTGATTAATGAAGAGGGTGATGTGATTAATGAAGAGGATGAAGTAATTAATGAAGATAATAAACCAAGTGAAGGTATTTATCTATATATATTTATTTATTTATTTTTTTTTGAGTGTTGAAATTATTATATTCATTTCTATCTAATTTCTAATTAACTATTCTATTATATAGAATTAAATGCAAAAAACAAACCATTAGAATCAATGGTGAATCCTCGAATAAATCAGGCAAGTAATTTTATTAATTTTTATTTCTTTTTTATTTCATTTTTATAACATGTGATATACGACAAATTGTGCAACATTAATTCTTCACATGAACATGAATATTCAACAAGTTTTAACCCAAAATTTAATTTGGGTGTTTAAATGGGGTTAAAATTTAGATTTTAATATGAACATGAATTTTAACACAAAATTTAACATGAATTAACAGAAAAATGAAAATTTTCACCAGAAGTCAAAAAGCAAAAAATGGAGAAATAAAGCTAAATCATTAATAAAGAAATTATCTGGTCGGGTATGTTTGAATTTTTATTATTATTTTTATTATTAAAAATGATTTTCTCCAAAGAAAAAGAATTTGATGAATAATGAAATTTCAATTTTTGATTGATTTTAATTTTAGAATTCACGAAAGGATAATGAATCAATGAGTGAAAGTAGCGAAGAAGGTATGAAATGTTACATTCTATAGATATAGAAATATTTTATATAATGTAATGTATGTGGGGGAAAATAGAATCTTTTAAATAACAGACAATTCTTTGTGGATAATTTTCTTTCAAAAAAAAAATAAATAAATAAAGGACAATAACTTACAATAGATTAATATGTTTATAGAAAAATATTTATAAAATATATTCCTAGAGTAGTTTGATTAATTTTTTTCATTCATGCTTTTTTTTTTATTTTTTGATAATTACAATACTATTTACAAAAGTGATAGATTAATAAAGAATATTTATTTGTTTGGGAATAATAATATTTTTTTTTAAAGTCATTTAAGTCTTTTTTGAGGGAAATTAAAGGAGATTTTATTATTTAAGAATTAATTATTATTTGGGAATTAATTATTATTTGAGAATTTAATTATTATTTGGGAATTAATTATTATTTGGAATTAATTTATTATTTGGGAATTAATTATTAATTATTATTTAGTAAAAGGAATTGGAGATGAGAAAAGAATTTATTATTTCGATAAAGGGAAAATATGAATAACGCTTAATGATATAATTATTATAATTATTTTATTGAGGAGTTATTATTTTATAATAATTATATTGAATGTCGTTGGATTAATTAATTTAATTTATTTTTATGTAGGCGATAATGAATTAGATGATGAAAATTTACCTTCAGGTTGGACTCTTATAAATTCAGGTTAGTTACATTTTAATCTTGTTAATCTTTCTAATAATGTTTGATAAATTTTATTTTTGATATATAATATATTATTTATCTTTTTATCTTTTAAAGTTGATTACGATGATTTCGATAATTACGATGATTTACCCATGAATGGGACGAATACGTTTGATAATGGTAAAAAGTAAAATATTTAAAATATTTAAAATATTTAAAATATTTTAAAAAATAATAATTGATATAATTGTAATTATCATTTCTTATTTTTATAATATTTTATTTTAATTTATTTTATAAAGTTAACGTCATACATCCGGTTATTAGAGACGATGATTCAATTAAAGATCAAACAAATAAATGTAAGTAATTTCTTTATTTTATTTTATTTTATTTTATTTTATTTTATTTTATTTATTTTATTTTATTTTATTTTATATTTTTTTTATTTTATTTTATTTTATTTTATTTTTATCATACATCATATTAATAATAATATTAATTATTAATAATCGATTTATCATAAAATTCATTAAAGATGTTTACGGTAATAGATGTAAAATGTTATTTAATAATAATCGATGGACTTTGCAATCACAAAAATGTTTCGCAGCTTATCACGCAAGAGTTGGTGATTTCGAAGGAATTAGATGGCATGTTAAAAATGATGGTAAAGAGATCTTAGATAATGTCCAGGAAATATCTGGACCTAGAAATAGGTAAAGATTTTAATATACTTAATATTTCAATATATTTCAATATATATCTTGTATTATATTCTTTACATTTAATCATTATATTTACTTATTTAATTATTTAATTATTATATTTACTTATTTAATTTTTATATTTTGAATTCTTACAATCAATAATAAATAATAGTTATCGAAGACCTCTGGAAGCTTTAGTAATAGAAGCGACAATGTACTGTCCAGCTCATATCCTTCTTCCAACTTATACCTACCTTCTTAATCTTGGAGCAAATATTCATTCAATTGACTCTTATACTTCTGGAACTTGTATTAATTTTCTCGCTTGTAATACTTCCCTTCTCTCTGATTTAATTCCTCGTTCATCTTCATCCAATGGTTATTACTTTAAACAATGTTTAAAATTTTTACTCGCAAAAGGTTTAGACATAAATTCACAAACAATCACTGGAGATACTTTACTCAATTCTTTAATATTTAAATGGCATCCTTATCTTACTCCAGATATAATAGAATTTGTAATTCAAAATGGAGCTAACCCAAATTTAGCTAATAATCGAATTGGGACACCACTTGGTTATACATTACTTGCTACTAGATTTGATGATAATAGTGGTCCATTTAAAAAGGTTTATAAAATATTAAAAATTTTAATTGAAAATGGTGGAAATATTAATCAAGAAACAGTTATACCTGGTCGAAAATTGAAAAATTTATTATGGATATTAGTAGATATAAATATAAATTTGAAAATTGATGAACAAAAGAAAATTTTGGAATTACTTTTGAAATGGGGAATAGATGTAGGAAAATTAAATGAAAGAGAACAAGAGAGTGGTATTTTTGGTAATGAATTATTTAATGAAAATAAGGAAAATAATGAAGAAAATAATGATATTGTAGAAATGATAACGGATGACGAAAAATATATTGATGACAATGAATTATTATTATATGATGATCCTATCGAAACAACCTCTTCCGATGAATTTGTTACTGGATCCGGAGTTGGTGGATTTGGTAGAATTGAAGATGAAAATATTCTTGAAATAAAATCACAACACGCAAGAACGGATAGTAATATATCACGACTTGCAAGAACTGATAGTAGTAGTAGTACTAATTTTAAAAGTTCATCAAATTCTTCAAAACCTACCACAATGACTACAATGAATACAAGAAAATCTCCAACATCATTGAAATTCATTACACCTGATACACAAAATTCTACTCCTAAATATATTTCAACAAAAGATAATTCCAAATCATATTCTAAACCAAGATCCACAACTCTAAAATTTCCATCATCACCAGTAAAACAAACGTCAAAGTTAACTGCTCAAGATATACCTTTATCAATATTAAAACCGTATTTAAGAACTTCATCACAGTCAACTATTTCTCCAACGTCACCAACATCAGATTATACTTCATCAAATTTTTTAATTGAACAAAATATTCAGAATATTCCAGAAATTAAAACATCATTTATTCCTAACAAACCTTTAAATGTTTTAGTTTACGCAGTTCAATTAAATAGATATGATATGGTGAAAATATTATTGGAAAGAATTTATGAATTGAGTGAACGAGAGAGTATATTAGCTGCATTAAAAGAATGTGGTGTTACAAATCAAGAAAAAATTACAGGAAGTGAGAGAATAAACATTATCCCAGGTTTCTTAAGAAGAAGAGGATCTCATAATGGTTATAGTGGACATAGTGAAATTAAAAATTATTTATTAACTTGGATTGACAATAACGAAAAAAGGAAAAGGGTATTATTAAGATCTGAAAAGGCTCAATTAAAATGGAAAAGAAAGAACGAAAATGAACATCAATGGGAACATCAATGGCAACAACAATTATCTAAAGGAAAAATTACGGATCATGAAGAACAAAGAAAAAGTTTAGATGATGAAAGACAACCGGAAATAAAAGTTGATATCAAAGGAAAATCAAAAAGTGTCATAAATTAAAATATTGTATTTTATTATAAATTTGATTTTACATATTCATATAATTAAATTTCTTGAATTTATTATATTAAATTTAATTATTTTGTATATTTCAACCTTTATTTACTTATCTATTTTTTTACCAACTTTATTTTTATAATTAATTTATTAATTTATAATGTAAGTATTATTGATATCAATTCACTTTATATGTATTATCAATTCACCTTATATGTATTATCAATTCACCTTATATAACATATATATATTCTTTTTAACATATATATATAACATATATATATATATATATATATTCTTCTATCATCCACAGTCATCAATTAATCATTTATCTCATAAAATAAAGATATTTATTTAATATTTTGATAATCTGGAATAACAATGTACATTGAATCCTAAATTTTTATCTGCTGTTTATATTAATATCCAATAATACTTTGAATGTTCAAACAAATAAATTGTTATCCTTTTTTTTTTTAGATCATAAAAAAAAATAAAAATTTAAAAAATTGATTTAATAAATCTTACCTTTGTGTAATTCTCAACTCAATATCAAAATTAGCTTCGACTGATTTTTCTTTACAATAATAAATGGATGAACATCACGCCAAATTCCAGATATAATATAATATCAATCCTGCTTTAATTGCCATCTGCTCTGCTTACCTTAAAAAAAATTTTTTTTACCGACTAACGGAGTCATAAATGATAAACCATAAATAAATACAGTATGTCGCGCCGCGCTTATCTTAAATTTATAACACCAATTAAAAATTATAAAATACACAACGCGTTCCCTCTTACTTTTATATCACCAAATTTCCATTTAGTAGGAATTTTTTGTCATTTGATTATATAAGTCAATAGGTACGTTTTCAAGTACGAAGGAAGAAAAGTTATTATTCAATTCATTAGTGTTGTATTCACGTTTTTATTAAAGGGTTGACTGTCTCTATAGCATTAGTTGAAGTAAGTATTATATGTATGGACCGTACCATATTTTGTTTGAATAATAATAAATTATGGAAGATATTTCCTCCTCCTCAGGACCTCGACAATTACATCTAACATTAGTGTTTTAACATATATGAACCAATGTCTCGTTGTTTCGTTATCATTTTACTACCTACATTATCAATTTTATTTCAAAATAAAAGTTATATTTTTTAACATGGAAAGGATATTTATTTTATGGAATGTTAGATAATCTAGGATTATGTAAACTTGAAGTATTGTTAAAATGATCCTTCTAGAAGACCAACATATAAAAAAATGGGTATTGCAAAATCTCACTGGTGGTGATTGTCATCTCTGGGCAAAATTACTGATCAACCTCTAACCCAAATTTTGCCCAGTGTGACAATTACAACTGGTGATCTTAATTAAGCAATTTTCAAATATATTAATTGAATAATACAAAATTATGACTATTGAATTAATTTTACAATCAATGAAACTGATAAAATAAAATAAATCAATTTATTTATATTTATTGATATGATATTTTTCATATAAAGAGACAGATATATTGATATAACTTTATTTGGTTATAAAAATTAAAATGAATATTTATAAATAAAATAGCATTAATATTATTGTCAAGTTTTTATTTTAAAAAAATGCTAAATCATAATAATGAGCAAAAGACTAATGAGCAAAAGACTAATATTTATATATATATACATATAAATAATGAATTAATAACAATTGTGAAAAATAAATATAACGATATAAAAAATAATTAATTCTTAGGTTTGAATGACTCGAAGTTAACTTGTATAAAATTACCATAAAAAAAATTGTCTTTTAATTTAATTACTAAAAGTAGGTCTGTCTAAAGTATCCCAACATTATATAATCACTGTTGTAACTAATTTTGGTGATATGAATGAATTCCTGTAACTATTACATAAGCTTTGATTTCAGATGAACTTCAGGAGCTACATATGATATCACACCCCAAATATTTTTTCTTTTCAGAATTAAACTGGATTTGACCCTATTAATTAACTTAGCGCTTAATTCTTTTAAATAAAATAATCTTAACGCTAGTTCTTTTTTAAATTTCTTTCCCAATTAATATTAATTAAATTATATTTTTCTGGGCTTTGTGCAATTCCATCATCAAGGATCTTATTTTAAAATACAGTAGTTAGTAATTACGTTGTTGCAAAAATTATCAAATTATCAAAACCTTTTACACCACGTGCCAGTGTCCCATTGTTAATTTTTAATATCACATATTGAATTAATCTCTCATAGTTAAAATATATTTGACCTAAAGTTATTAGTTTAAACATTTTTAAGTATTTTAAATATTCTTATTATTCTATTTATTCTAATTTATTCTTTCTATTATTTCAAAAATGGTTCTTCGCATATCCCGTTTATTTTGTCAAATATTTGATTTACATCGCATCATATTTTTCTTGATTTACGTTCCTTGCATAATAAATTACTAATAATAATGTGTAATTATTAAATTTGGAAAATAAATAAAATAAATCATTTTGCTGATTCTGGGTCAATTGAATAAATAAATACTATACTAATTATAATTCAAGATATAAAACTGGTGACGCGTTTCTACTATTGGTAATATGGTTTGTGCTGATAAATATTTCAGCTTTTGATAAAGAATTTATTGAAACTTTTCCACTTCTACAACTGCGGTCTATTTCCACTAATAAAACTGCGGTCCTTTCCAGATTTCTTGTTTGAATTTAAAATAATACCGTATATAATAGCCTAACAGGGATAAATTCATCTACAGGAATATTATTTACTGAACAATTAAATTTACTAAATTTGTTTTAATTTAATTTTTACTTAATTTATTATTTCTATTTCCATCCATGTACCCAAGAGAATTCATTGCTATGCGCTCAAAATAACTTAACTCAATAAGGAGACAATATAAACACCACTTAAAGTAATACATTTCCATCTAAATAAATGTCTGTTTAAACGTAAATGTCCGCTTGCATTTTACGCAGAATGCCGTTCCTGTTATAGTCATCAATTTCTAAAAAAAATATCCTCCATTTATTCTATTTTTAGATGTAACGATAAAATAACACAGCCAAAGATAACTTGAATATTAAACAACTTAATTGTTATATCAATCATATGATATTTTAATATTTCTTTTATTGTTTTTTAAAATAATTAATCTAAAATAACATCTCTCATCTAAATAACAAAAAATATTATTATTTTGATATTATTCAAGTTTTAAATATTTCGGTTCAACTCTTCTTTTAGAATAACAGATGATAATTCTTTTTTTCTGTACAAAAATAGAATTATATGATCAATAGAAACTATTTTATACTAGAACCTTTAAATTGCATGTACCTTTGCATCTTGTACTCATGCATATAAAATTGTACAACGGAAATCTATCGATAATCGATAATCGGATGATGAAAGAATAACACTTTGCATTTACTTTACATTCACTTGCTTACATTCACTTTACATCCACTTTCACTTTCATTTTCATTTTATGTTTCACTTTCACTATACATCCACTTCATTTCACTTTACATTCACATTCACTTTCGCTTTCACTTTTACTTTCACTTTATGTTCACTTTCGCTTTACATCTTAGATATTTAGAAAGAAAAATTCAGCACTTTCCAAGCCTCAATGCGCACAAATGTCCAAATGCCCAATGCCCAAATGCGCAATATGGCTTAGTAAAGATGTTAACTATGTTATCATTTTAATTATATTGATTAATTCCCTTTTTTTAAAGTGTTTGGCACATATATATTTCTAAATAGTAAAAATTTAGAGAAATAACGTGATGCTGATACTAAAATAAAAGATATATTTAATTATGACTATTATTATAATACTAATATATAATTATATAATAATAATTTATATTTGACGCGACACATATTTTTACAAAAATTAGAATTTCAAATATTCTGCGTTTAAAAACTAGTTTTACATGTATTACAACTAAAAATAGTTTTTTTTAACAACAATATAAAAGTTTGGGAGTATTCTTGGAGCCAATTAAATAAACTGTAAAAAATAATGGCTAAATGAAGTCCAAATAAAGTGAAAAATAAATATATATAAAGTTAAATATAAAGTTAAATATAAAGTGCATGAGACCGTAAGATTATCTTCCGTTCAGCTGCATAAAATTTATGCACATGTGTTTTCACATCTTTACAAATATATATTTATAGTATGTTAAAAGTTTTTATCTTAAAAAGACTACTATGATTTTTTTTTTAGAAAAAAGGAAGAGAATTAAAATTTTTATCCAATTATTTGTAATTATTTATGCAAAATAATATTTTTAACATCGTAATAAGTAATTTGTAAAGTAATTGTAAGTAATTAATAAATTTTACAAGGAATTAATAAATAATTTATAAAGTATTTATATTATTCATTAATTCTTTATTGTCATCTCATCCAAACTTTGTGAATTGATTTACATGATTGGTTGACCAAAATGACAGTATGAATTATGTTTACCTAGAGGTAACTTAAAAAAACGAAAATTTTATAAACAAAGCTAAAGTAAGTATCGAAAAATGTGCAAAAAACTCCTTACATTCTTTTTTATGCACGTGATCACAATTCGAACATTCCCGACGATCTATATTCTGGACATAAAATACATGAAACTGTATATATAGAGTAAGTTGTAGTGTACTCTAACCAATTATTACTTTTTGTTTAACTGTTTAAAATATTAAAATTTTGTTCCTCAAAGAAAACCAATAAATTAAATGAAATATGCAATAAATTAGAATGAAAATACGTAAATAAGAAATAATAATAAATAATACTTTCTATAATGAATTTTCTCTATGTTTCTTTGTTCAAAGAAGAAAATCATATTTCTATCACCATTTATATAATCATTTTTATATTTATATTTTATCACCATTATTGGATTATGTTCTCTATAATATTTTTAATATTATAAATAAAATAAAATAAAACAATAAGGAAATTTGAATGAATGTTTTACTACGAAACTTTAATAATAATGATAACAAAAATTATGAATAAATAATAATTATAGTAATAAAAATAAAATAATTATAGTAACAAAATAGTAACAATAATAAAAATAAGATTATAATTATAATAATAATTTATAGTAAAAATGAGAAATAATATTCATGTAAAAATATATATATTAAGTTGTGGGCGCAATTCATCTTGAAGATAAAGAAAAGAATAAAGAGATCGACTATAATACTAGAAACTATAATAAAAAAATTATATAGTTTATTTTATATCTTATTTAGAATTAATTGAGTGATATGACATCAACAATTTGATTGATTGAAAATCAATTTGTGATTATTATCACTCATGAGAATATTTTTTTTCCATAAATGTGAATCAAAGATAAATCTTGACTTGGTTTTTACCTGAAGGGATGATTAAAAGAGATAATATCACATCTTACAAACAAGTATTCATTCCTGCATTTATTGAAAAATAAATTTTTTCTATGGATGGAAAGATATAAATATTTCTGAAAAAAAGTTTCATCGAATTAAAGAATGAAAAAAAAAGGTCGATGATGATCACACCACACATGAATTTTATATTTACCCGGAATATTTTTAACATCTCGGAAAAACCACAACAAATTTATTATGAATCTTGTATAATTCTAGTTAGAATTCCGATATTCTCCGCTTTGAATCAGTTAAATAAGTTGGGTTTAGTAGAAAATATAAAAATTATTAAAAATTATTTAGACATTATTTTCGAAATCATTATAATAAATTATTATTGACCTGCTGTAAAAATTATTATTATTAGTTAAATCGAAATTATTATTATTCGTTATTGGATTTTTTTTTAACAATATAATTAAACATAATTAAACATAATTAAATATAATTAAATATAATTAAATATAATTAATTGAAATTTCGAGATCAAACATTAAATATTATGAATATTATAATATTATAATAATGAATATTATAATAATAAATAATATCTATTTTATTAGATACTAAATATTATAAATACAAAAATTGCAAAAAAAAAAATAATACTAAAAATGCAAAAAATGCAAAAAATGCAGAAAATTATAAAAAAAATCGCAACACCAAAATGAAACCCCTTGCATAACAACTATCGTATCACAAGAAACTTATAAGTACTTAAAAAGGATTAATTACGATGAGTTTTTTGGGCGCGTGAGATAAAAGAAGCAAATATTATTAATAATATCGATAATATCAATAAAAAAAAATATTAAGTAATTATCAAAAATATCGAGAAAATATACAAAGATTTGAAGATAAGAAGTATATTTGAATTAATATATTCGAGTAAAGAAAAGGGAAACAAGAAAATAAACTTGAACAAAAAAAAAAAAAAAATTTCTTATATAATACATACGAGGAGGGGATTATATAAAAACATATAAAACATATAAAAACATATAAATATATATATATATATATACAAATATCCAAGAATGTGAAGAATATGAAATAACATGCATAAAATGAGCGTAGAATATAAATATGCAATATGCATATCAGTATTTTAACTTTATCTACTTTATATACATAATATAATTATATTAATTATATAAATATTCTATAAACTTAAAACTTAAATTATATTTTATGCAATATCTGTAGTAATTACAATATTTCTCGTGTATTTACAAACAAAAGAAACCCTTAACCATATGAAATATTTTGTTTTTTTCGCCGAGATGCCCAAATTCTTAAAAATTTTCCTTAAATGTTATTTCATTGTAAATTTCCCGCGTAAATTTACTATTACAAGAAAAAAGAACCAGTAGAATTTACAAGAATTTACAATAAATTGCCGCGTTACCATCTTTTTTCATTAAAGTAAATATGTTTATATATTTTTTATCCCTTATTATCCCATTTACTTTATTTTACTTTATAAATTATCACGTTTGTTTATATCTCACACTTATTAGAACTCCCTTTTTCGCACGCAAGCGGACCAGACTTTTTCGATTTTTAATTTTTTTTTTTTATTATTTTTTTTTTTTTTTAGTTTTCTTGCGTGCTTACCATTTTATTTTACATTTTATTATCATTTTCTCTAACTTCACAAAAAATAAAACATACTCGAAAAAAATACATTAACATAAAAATAACATTCATAAAAAAAATACAAAATATTAACACACCCTTATATTATTTACCTCCTAAATGATCTTTATCAACTTTTCCCCTCTTTATTTCTCTTTATAGATAACTAAAATATCAAAAACAGTAAAAACATTGATCATTGATTATAAATCTCACGCGTACTTCCTATTTATCCTTCTTGATAAGCTTCATAATTTCTCTCCTTTTTGAAAATTATTTTTCGCTGTCCTTACTATCCTTCTTGATAACATCTTAATAATAATAATAACCTGTTTAATACTATTACCAATACTACTAATACTAATACTTACTACAGTATATCTTATCTATATTTTATTAATCAATCAATCAAAAATCATCATTCGCGTTTATATGATTCTCTCTTTGGTAAGTTAATTAATTCTGAGCCTGAAGTTATGAACTGTTAAAATTATTGAATTTCGTTCAATTTTTATCCAAATTATTCAATAAAATCAATTTTTTATCCGAATTTATCCAATTTATTCTATTTTATCCAATTTTATTCAATTTAATTCAATTTTATTCAATTTTATTCAATTTTTCAAAATTTTTTTTAATTGAAATGGGATCAGAAATTTATCAATAATTTTTAACAAGATAAAAATTTTTTTTAGAATTTTTAATAATACTATAATCATAGTGTGAGGTAAATATAATTCAAAAATTTTAAAAATTTTAATAATTGCTTTAACGATGGGGTTGTTAAATAATCATCTTACCCCTCTCGTGAAAAACCTCCTTTCTCACGAAACCAATCCTAACCCATATTCTTTTTTAATCTGATTGGGGGATTAGGTTCATCATCATTATTTTATATTTTCTCTCATCCTTTTCATTTATTTTCATTTATATTTTTTAAATTTTATTTTTAATTAAATTATTATTTCTTCGTTCATTTAATTGTTCGTTCATTCATTCAATAATTCAATCATTCATCATTCATAATTATCTAATCTAATATAAATTTTATTGATGGTTATGATCGTTATCTATTTATTATCAAATTAATAATAATAATAATAATAATAATAATAATAATAATATTATTATTATTATTATTATTATTATTATTATTATTATTTATTATTATTATTTATTATTATTATTTATTATTTATTATTATTATTTATTA